TTTGCAAGCAGAATTACTGCTCCTTGTGGAAGACCACAGACGAAGGACGAGGTTAAGAACGGGGGAAGTACTGCCACCTACAGGTCTGGCATGTCCTTAACAACGTATTTATCCGGGTACGTGTGGACAGAGTTTTTTTTTTAAACAAGGTGGTGTGGATGCAAGTTTTTGGAGGGGCAGATATTCGTTTTTAAAAAACCCCGGCTACGTGTGGACTAGGCCTCAGACTATGGTGGATCCGCCTCATTGTCTATATTTTGGGTCGTTCCACATGTGGCATCCTCACTCACTCCTTTGTTAAAAGCAGTCCACTGGAAACATCTGAAAGGAAATGATTGATGCGTGAGTAAACTCAATGTCTCCAGGGAACACACACACACACACACACACACACACACACACAGATTTCCACCTTAAGGGTCAACACACAATTAGACTTCAGAGAACTCCTTCCAGTCTCACAGAGAAGCTTGACATGCAGGCAGGCATAGCCAGCAAGACAAGGGTGTTGACCCTCCTATGAACTAAACTGCTTTGTTGGTTTACCCGCTGCGGTGGAGCACTTCTTCATACGATGACTGGCCACTTCCTCACTGCCATGGTGATTCACGACCTCAGCGGTTGCTAAAAATACCAAGTTTGTTTTAAGAATTTGGGTGCAGACTTGGAGGGAAATGTAATTGGCTACTGCTGGTTCTCTGAGACCCAGGTTTTCAATCACGGAAACGCAGTCCCAGTATGACCGTGCTGCTCGGAAAGGTCAGATTATGGTAAAGCAAAGCACCAAGGATGTCTGCTAACCTTGAACATGACTTTAATGTTTTGGTTGCAGTTGGTTGCCAGGTGATTTTGCATCAGGAGAACTGTGTACAATAAGTGTTTCCTTTTATGCAAAGTCTCTCTTGTCTCCTTTGCAAAAGAAATGGCTCCCAATTGTGTGCAAAGAAGTTGCAAACTTGAGAATGAAGGCCCAAATCTGACCTTTAGAGACATAAAAATGTCCAGAACACCTTGGGAGAAGCAAATCTTGTAAATTAAGTGTGAGCACAATTTTAAAACTGCAATAGCAAACTTACAGATCAACCTAGCTTTTAAGCTCAAACACGATCATGAACACTCACCCTTCCAGTCGGCTATCATCCCTGGACCGAGTCAGCTGGAACCGGAACTGACACTGACAGAGGAAACGAGAGAGCGCTAAACATCAGTCGCGGTTTTCTTTGTCCAAACAATTTTTGCTGCCCACAACTACAAATGGTGTTTTTCTTTTTGGAACTCTGGCAGTTGGTCCTAAAGTTAAAGTGGTAGCAGCCGGCTGTTTCTCATTCTCCAATGTTATTGAGTGTAGAACCTCTCACACCAGTTTTGCTCTGTTGCTAAATGCATGAGTGCGTATTGAGTGGAGGAACCAGGGAAATCCAGTGGTTCAGTGAGACAGGCTGAAGGGGGGGCTGGTTGGAGTTTGGCTGTAGCATGAGTGGCAACCCAAAAGTGCGTTGGGAAATGGCCAACATGCAGTTTAATATAGAACACTAGTACGTAACCCCAATTGTTGTTAATTGTTGCTTTCAGACCAAGCCGTGTTATTGGTGAGAACCAATTCATTAACTCACTCACTGCCAGCCATTTCCTGATCACTGACGGCCTTCGCTACCTGCGTTTCTCACCGTTTTTACTGTTTTTTTAAGACTTACAGAACGTTGCGCGCTAGCATGATGTCGATGCCAAAACAACCAAAACAAAGAGGAGACTCACCTCTTACATCAGGAAGAAGCCGCGTGTTTCGAGCGTTATCCGTTCTTTCATAATCCGTTGTCGAATTGTGATCAGCAGATGCTTTTCCGGTTCGCGCCTCACTTTTTTTACAGGAACGGCCCAAAACGATCTCCAAACACATGGATGTGTTGCTTCCTGATCAGGTGATCTGTGACGTACGCGGATGAAGATCGGCTTCAGGGCTGAGATGTTTGTTCTCTCAGCGCGGGGGCTCGTTCCGATGCTCACACAGTAAAAAAAATGCAAATGACGACTTTAGTCGTCAATGGCAGAGAATGAGTTAATTTAATAAAAAGTCATTATTTAAAGGAAAAAAAATGTTGGTTTTTGTCACTGAGAAAATGTTATTTTCTGAACAAATGCTCACATAGGTTAGTGTTAGTGTGAGTTAGTGCATGTAAAAAAACATCTGTCTGGTCACAAAGCTCCAGATGGCTTCAGCCTTTTTATTTTTATTTATTCATTTAATTATTTGTTTGATTGCTACACTGAAGACAATCTTCATAAAGGAAGTTCCCAAAGTGATTTCACAGTAAAAATATTTAATTAGGTGAAGTCATTTACATTTTTATTCACTTCTTCCAGAGTGAAATATTCATCAAAATGTGTTGAATTTTAAATGAAAATGTAAGAATCATTAAGGCAACAGTGGAAGCCTGAGCTAAAATAGAAATGAAACTTTCTACACTAAAGAACACAGAAAAACTTCACTGAACACCAATGTCCTTGAGAAGTTGCCTGGACTCCACAACACCAATGATCAGTCAGTGTGCTAAAGGGAGGCACGAGCGTAGAGAGCTGTATGTCTCTTTTTATTGGTAATACATGGATTTTCCAAGCCAAGTTTCTTGTTTTTATAGGTCTATATAACCCGTTTTATCCCAAAGCATCAACTACTGCTGGTTTAACGCAACCCCGTGGCATCTTTGAAGCACACATCAAACCCTGATGTTATTCTGGAGGGTTTTCTTTCGACTAAAGAAAAAATCCTGACAAGGAGGGACAACAGAATTGGAACAGGACTTATCGTGGTTTCGTTTTTATTAAAACACGAGTGAGAATAGATTAGTCTAAGACTACGTAGGGTCACTCAAAAGACAAATAAACGGTGGCATGTATTTTTCTGCTATTTATTCCCAACTCAAATTTTCAGAAAAAGTGATGATGTTGTCAGGTTGTCCCAGAGCAGGGGTGGAAGTGTGCGGAGATTGTGTTGGGGACTCTCTCCGAGCACGGGGTGGTTCCTCTTGTTGTAACTCATTAGCCCATTTTACAAGACACACCATACCGGCGAATCGACGTAACATTACCGCAACGGTGTGTCTTATAAATGTGTCATGTCAGCATGGTGTTGTGCAAATTTCGCGGCAATTGATCTGCCGTAATGGTTTGTCTTATAAACGGGCATTGCGCTATGGCCATAACCCTAACCCTAACCCTAACCAACAAAGGGAGGTGTCATGATGACATGGGGAGTTGATGCCTACAAGTTCTCAATGGGATTAAGATCTGGGGGGTTTCATGGCAATAGATCCAAAATGTCAACGTTTTGGTCCCCGAGCCACTAATTTATCACTTTTGCCTTATGGCACGATGCTCCATCATGCTGGAAAATGCATTATTCTTCACCAAATTGTTGTTGGATTGTTGGAAGAAGTTGCTGTCGGAGGGTGTTTTGGTACTATTCTTTAGTCATGACTGTGCTTTTGGGCAAAGTTGTGAGTGAACCCTCTCCCCTGGATGAGAAGCAATCGCACAAATGAATGGTCTCAGGATGCTTTACTGTTGGCATGACACAGGACTGATGGTAGCGCTCACCTTTTCTTCTCTTACCTATATACCTTTTCTACATTTTCTAATATATGCAAATTGCTATTATAAAATCTTAAGCAGCAACTTTTCCAATTTCCATATTCATGTCATTCTCAAAACTTTTGGCCACGACCGTAGCGCCTTCTAGAGTCCTGGAACCCCCCAAGGCACTTTACAACACAATCAGTCATTCACCCATTCACACACATTCACACACTGGTGGGGATGAGCTACGTTGTAGCCACAGCTGCCCTGGGATGCACTGACAGAGGCGAGGCTGCCGAGCACTGGTGCCCCCGGTCCCTCTCACCGCCACCAGCAGGCAAGGGGGTTAAGGGTCTTGCCCAAGGACACAATGACAGCGACAAACTGAGCGGGGCTCCAACCTGCAACCTTCTGATTACGGGGCGAGCACTTAACTCCCGTGCTACTGTCACCACGATACGATAAATAGATCCCCACTATTACATTCAACATTGTTTATATCTGGTGATAATTTATTTATTTATTTTTCATTAATATCTTGCAGAGAGGAAGATTTTGAGATGATTAAACATTCTATTTCACCTTTTAGATATTATGTATTAATGATGATACAGAAATTAGGTTAAAGCTGATTGTGGAAAGTCTACTAATAAATGGTAGGAACGTAATAAGGAGTATTTAGCTGTTACTCTGCAGGATTTCTTCCTTGGTGCAGATGTGAAGAGGAAAATGGCGGTTAGTGCCATCCGGTACTTGGTGGAATGTTAGGGGGATTATCCATGCAGAATATTCACCGTCTCAGATAATTTCTTTTTGTCTTTTCACCATTAGCAAAGTCGTTCACCCTGATATTCCATCTGCAAGCCTTTCCTCTTAAGAAGCACGTTTCTAAGTTCCCCTCGTCATCAGCTTGTCATGTCAGCGTTTTAAATGGATATTTTATGAGTTGAAACAAATGCGGGCGAAAAAAACAAAGCTAAATCAACCTTGCATATTTTACTTGTTCCGCCTGCTTATTTTAATTTATTATGAAAAAAATAAACCTGAATCCTAATTTCTTCACAAACTCAAAGAAATTGTGATGCAATGAATGTTAGATGTGTGTTTGGAATTACTGTTTTATGAATATCATCTCTGGACTGGGATTTCTGCTAGTATGTAGATTCATTGGCAATTTGTTCCAAAGACAGTCAAGATTTAATGGATTCCTTTTATTAGCTTCCAACAAATTGCCCTTTTAGAGGATGGAGCATTTGCATTATTCATTTGTGAAAGAGGAAGCATTTATGAGTTCATTTAGTTTAGTTCTACTTGAGCTCAGCAGCCAGCAGCGGGACAGAGAGCGACTCCTCGCAAAAAGGCAGACGGAGACCTCCGTGAGAGATGAAAACAATCTCAGCCTGAACTTCTACTTCTTGATCTTTCAGGTGATTCAGCGCAGAGAAGATGGCTCGGTCAACTTCTTCAGGGGGTGGGAGTCTTACCGCGAAGGATTCGGCAAAGTCACCAGTGAACACTGGCTAGGTAAGAGGCTCGTATGCGTGTGTGTGTGTGTGTGTGTGTGTGTGTGTGTGCGTGCATGCGTGGTTATGGCTAATGTTCACTGTGAGGCTTCTAAATTCACATTGAGTGAAAGCATGGAAAGTACATTTCACACATCTTGGGTCACTTTTTGATAACAAAGATGTATTAAACTGTCACATTAACAGTGACGGTCACTTTGATATCAAGTCACAAGCTGCTGAGTGACGGGATGCAACGTGACACTTCCAAAAGAGATGGAGGGTCTGTAATGAAATAACTTTTAATTTGTTTAAGTCACTCAAAGTTTCCACTGAACCTGCATTGCTATGTTAGTAAGAGTGATAAATACACGTGTGTCTGGCCAAAAGACCATGAATACAATTATAATATCCTTATTTTCCATACGTCAAACACAAAACAGAATAATTCCCCTTTTTATCACCAAACCCATTCTGTAATTGCTGATATGTTCCAGAGGAATGCCTTTCCAATTTTTGCTGGCATCACTATTTAGTTTCCAAATAGATGAGGCCAAAAAATGCCAGGAGATTAAATTTATTTTAGTAATAAAATATTCTACTTCTTTAAATCTATTTTTTTAAATGCACATTATATTTAATAATAAATGGTAGGGATGTGAATCTTATAAAAGCTCATGATTCAGTTTGATTCAGATTCTCTGGTTGATGATTCAATTCAGAATTGATTCTTATCACACAATGTGTGTGTGTGTGTGTGTGTGTGTGTGTGTGTGTGTGTGTGTGTGTATGTGTATGTGTATGTGTGTGTGTGTGTGTGTGTGTGTGTGTGTGTGTGTGTGTGTGTGTGTGTGTGTGTGTGTGTGTGTGTGTGTGTGTGTGTGTGTGTGTGTGTGTGTGAAGAAGTGGGGATAAAGAGAATACAGTGTGTCAGTATATGTGAAACTAATACACAGGTTTTAAAACATCCACAAGCATGTAATCACATAAACCAGTAAGACTAACAGGCACTATAAAAGTGTGTTTCTTCTTCTTCTACTAATAAGTTGGCATGGAACAACAATCCACCTCAAAATTGAAATAAGTTTCACATAAATATGTGATTCTAATTGAAAAAGTGTTGAAGGGATACTTTACAACTTTCTCATATTTTAAATAATTTTCTTGAGCCAGTGTGTGCTAAAATGACCGCTTACAGGTTAATGAAAGGCCAGCCAGCTTCTATCGCCCCCTGTGGCCAGAATATTCCATTAAAAGCAAGCCAAAATTGCCTGGTTCCCCTTTAAATTCCAACTGTATGTTTCCAACTAGTCATCAGCAGTTGTAGGACAGGTGACAAATCTGACACTAGGCTTTTCCTTAATGTGGTAAAAGGAAAGATGAGGACAACAAAAGCATGAGGCAAAAGTCATGATAGCTGACATATTTGTGTAAAATCTCTACATGGAGATCCTAAAAGGTTTTTTTTTTTTCTGTGAAAAGACAACAGCAATATTTTTTCTTGTCTTGAAGACGTTTCACATCACTTTCGAAAGGCTTCGTGAAGTGAAGTGAATACGTGTCTAAAACCCACAGAAGTCTTTTGGGTGAGAGGTGAAACGTCCTCAGGAAACAAGGAAAGAGGGACAGTTGTCCAGAAAAAAAATCCCAGCAACAGCTGACTGAACAAGAAACACTTCTAGCTGAGGATTGTAACATTTTCTCACATTTTCCACAAACACATTCAGTATCTAACTGGATCTCAACAAAATCATGCTATTATTTGAATTCTGGATGTAGTCTAACACTAACCTTGCAGCACACAAGCAGGACTGAAAACCGAATAATCAAGAATCTCAGGGGACGATTTCCACGGCGGCAAGAAATCAGTAGCCCGTGTTCGAGCACCGTCTCTTTTTGTCCTGATCTTGGGCTTCTCCCACACACCACATGCCACACATACTGTCGTGTAATTCATGGCCCAATGTAACAGTGACTCTGTGATGGTGACAGCGCTCTGAAGCCTTCCCGTCACGACTCACATGGAACAAAGTTTTAACAACTCAATATATGACCTTCATAAAGAAAATCTATCTTTCATTCCACAAAGAATTATCTGTTAATTAGCTGTTCTATGTTTTTTACAAGTTCTTCACCAATCAGCAACCTTATCACATCTTCCTCTCCGTAAACGCCCGTCCAAAAGGAGCAACGCATCAGCAGGAACGTTTCCTGGGGAGATTCCATTTTAGTAGCATTAATGAGCTACTGTATCACCAAAGAGAATCTGGATGTGTCTCTGTTGCTCTCGCAAGTTCACACTGGCGGAGTAATTAGAGCTTGAAAAAGTCTATTTCTGTAAGAGCACACACTTGGTCATGGTCAAGGTCACGGACGAGCCAGACCAGAACCGAGGTTGGCTCCCATCAGAGCTGAAAGTGCTTCACACAAAGAGACATGTTCTATGTCTATAATAGTTTGTGTCTGCAGGGAGCTTGTAGATCAAAGTTTACCATGTCGTGTTAAAGCTTTTGCGGAAATTAGTGTCCTTCGATCATCACTTCTATTTTACTGAAAAAGCTTTTGTAACGAGAAATGACTCAAATTGAAGAAGCTGGTCATTATTATTTAGGTAAGTGATTCATTAGAGGTTTATGGATTAAATCTTACAGCTGTGCTGACCTTGATTGTTGCGCAAAACTAAAGTTAAAGTCAGAACTAGGGATGCACCGAAATGAAAATTTTTGGCCAAAACCAAAACAACGAAAATGAGTAAACCATGTCGATAACTACAATGACAGCATTGATGGCTACGGTGTGTACTAACCTCACTAAAATCAAGGCATTGCAATAAATTAATCACAAAACCATGAAAAGGTTCATTTAGCATTGACATAGCAACAATGCTAAATGTTAATTCAAATCAAAATAAAGGTTTCACTTGACCCCACTCAAGTACATTAAATTATAATAAATTATAAATAAATATAAACATTGTGAATGTACAGGCTTATAACTGAAAGGCTTGCGGGGGACTGTAAAATTAATCCTTTAAGCGCCAAAGTCGCCATATTGCATTTAATGAGCCACTACTGCAAATGTTATCCCTCACAAAGTTCTTACTTTACATCAGAAGATACTGGAGATGTGTTATTTCAATCTGAGCAACACTTTTAGGTGTTTCTATTGAAATTTTCAGTTTATAGAGTTTGAAAACTGAGTGAGGAGATGAGTAGAGCTCACAGAGGCTGAATATTATTATATATTAGAGAAGAAACTTAGATTTCTGACAGGTCTGTTCACTGTTGACAAAGCTTTGTCTGGCAAAGGCTGACTCTGGTTCTGAAGAGTAATATTCACCCTCTGATGAAGACATTCACTCGTCCAGCGAGAAACAAAGTGACGTTGTAGCACAACAGAGCGTGTTTGCTTCACTAGAGTAAACACGCTTCACACACATGATCCAAAGCTTCTTTCATGGTGGGTGAAGCAAGGATGGCAAAAACGCCGCTAATGGTGACAGACGTAGCCAGACAGACGCGGTAGGTGTAAAACGTAAAGTAAAAAGTGCATCACATACTTGATATGAATATCCCAGCGATCGTAATGCTAAAAAGGGGCAAACTATTTTTATGAAGCAAAGAGCAAGATGACACATGAGGGTGGAACGAGATGAAACGAAAACAGGGTTCACTTGATGATCTATTTCGATGTTGTTTTTGTCATTGAAGCGTTTCGGCCGAAAACCAAAACTGCACTTTTAGGTCATTTTTGGCCAAATATTTTTGGTGGCCGAATTTTCGGTGCATCTCCAGCGTAAGCATTTACAGAGGACCTGTTGGTGAATTTTTAGATGCTTTATGTTTTGATAACTGATGCATAATTTAAAAATAAGCAACATTTTTAATAGCCTGGCCTGCCAGACTCACCCTCTGTCTATTCTAAACAGAGGACGAGTCTGGATACTCGGAGACAAAGAGTACCATGAGGGGTGGGACTAACCAGCTCACAAATAACCCATCAGAAAAAAGGCAGAAATGATGACTGTATCACGTAACGCTGTAGTTTCTTAGCTGTAGTCAAAAATGGCGTCTAGCAACGACGCAAACGTCATTATTTAGAAGAAAGGTTTTTAGCACTTCTTTATGTGGTTTTAAAGACATGTTCAAGGCATTTACAACAGAGGAAGGAGCCGCAGCGAACTCCACTTCAGACGCCATCTTTGTTGTTTATGAGAAACTGAGCATCGCGGTGTAAGTCCATTTTATTTCTATAGCACTTATCACAGACATAGAATCACAAAGTGCTTTACATAGATCAAAACAAAATAAAACTAAGCCATAAAATCATAAATAGATTAACATCATAAAATCAAAATGCTCTCAAAACAGAATTAGATTAACATAAGAAAAAATTAAGTCATAAAATCATACATTTTCATAAACAGATGAAAGATTAAAAATTTGAGTTAAAAATAAGAAAATAAAAGTTTAGTTAAAAGCAGCTTTAAATAAAAGGGGTTTTAGCTGTTTTTAAAAGTGTCCAGACTGTCCTTATAAGGATAAAGGAAGATCATTCCAGAGTCGGGGTGCAGCAGTCTGGAAGGAGAGATCACCTCAACTTTTGTTTCTGGTCTTTGGAACTTCTAGAAGGTTCTGCTGGGTGGACCTGAGGGCTCGGGTTGGAGCATAAGGGGCTCAACACACGGGAGGCGACAAACGACCGCGATCAGCGAAATTTGTCGCTGTCGCTTTTATTACCTGACACACGGGAGGCGACTGGGGCAGCAGCAAAGCCGTCTACGTGTTCTGTTCCATGGCGAAATTGAAACTTCCGTTGTTTTGTTTGGCGGTTCAGAGTTAATAAAGCGGTAGATATGATGTTTCACAAGGTGCTGCTAGAGTTATGTGAAATCTTACTTCTGATTTTACTATATAAACATAATAATAATCAACTTCTCCTTCATGTTTGTTCGGAGATGTACGGAGCATCCTGCCCGCTCATTGGTCAGTGAATGAAACCTCCGTCGATTGGTCCTCGTCC